TTTTGCGAAGAACTCAAATGATGCTACTCTCTTCATTCATTTGTGGCAAAATATATAAATGCAAACATGACATTTGACCATAACTTGTTTGTTTCCTTGTTAAGACCTCTTGAATTTCAATCAAGAACTTGAAAAGAAGCATCATCATCAACTTTGATATGAATTATGGGAAAAAGCATCGTGCAGTACACGTGCATTAAAACCGCGTCACCATCAGCTTCACCTACGTATCTTCCAAAGTTCTGTGGTTTGGCCAACATAATAAATGAAGAAACAAAAAACCACTAGCAGGCAATTACTCTCTCTCTCTCTCTCTCTCTCTCTCATACAGAACCCAACACAACACACAGAAAGATTTGAGCTTTCAGGTCAGTTTTAGGAGGGAAAATTCCAAATTCCAAAACCCAAAACCCAAAACCCCATTTGATTAGAGCAAACAAAGAGAGAGAAGGGCCAAGGCAACAAAAGCCTAAAGATTTATAAAGCCATTGAAGTGTTTGAAGTTTGAAGATAAATTCGACCCAGAAAGAAAAAGTTTGAAGAGAGCGAGAGAGAAAACCAGAGAAAAAAATGTTTGCAGCAGAAAATGGACTCAAAGGAGACCCAAGGCTCCAAGCAATATCTGAAGCCATCAGGGTTGTGCCTCACTTTCCAAAACCAGGTTCCTTGTTTTTTCTCTTCTTCTTTTTGTTGGGTAATATTTTTATTATTATTTTATTTATTTTTTAGCTGTCAGTGTTTGTTTGTTTAGTTTGATCAAGCAAGGCTGTTGTTTGTTTATCATGTTGGCAGGAATAATGTTTCAAGACATAACAACATTGTTGCTTGATCACAAGGCCTTCAAGCATACTGTCGACATTTTTGTTGATCGCTACAGAGACATGGACATCTCTGTTGTTGCCGGTACATTTTTTAAGTTTTTTTTTAAAGGTTTATTAATTTTTTGGATATTGAAATGCGGGCTTAATTAGTTTATTTGTGGGTTTCTTTCACAGAGGATGGTACTTTATCTTTGACTCTTTCGTTTGGCTTTTGCTGCTACTTTGATTGTTTGGAGATATATTTTGGTCTTTGAAGCTGCAATCCTTGTTGATTTCATGGATGATTTTTAAGGGCTCGATATGGGATTTTGTTTTTGTTTTTTGGGTATCCACAGTATCACCCATCTTAGTTTAATATGACCACTTATTGATTTGAAAATATTTTCTCCAATTTAACCCCCTCAAGAATTATATCCGTGGGGAAATACACTACTCTGTTCTGTGGCGTACACTAATGTAATGTGATCACAAGTTCACAGCAGAGCAGATTAGTTCCTTTTCCTTGGGATTTTTTTTGGAGCTATGACAGATTTTTTTAGCTCAGTGCTATCAATTTTTGTTGTTGTTGATACAAGCGATATTCTACTAATCTGATCTAAACTATAGGGAGGGGATTTGAACTCGGGTGCATATTGGGGAGCACACCCGCTCTAGCCAACTTGGCTAAGCCCATTTCTGCAGTTCTATCAATTTTTAGCCATACGGTTAAAGAAGGTTTTGATGAAATTCAATTTTTTTTTCTTGGTACTTCATTTAATAATAAGCTATTTGCATTTTCTCCTGCATTGCTGCAGTTTTGGTCGCTCGGAACGTTGTTTCTGATTTTTGAGGATTTTTTTGCCATTTGAAAAAAAAAATCCTTTAATTTTTTTTTTTC